AGCTCAGCAGGTCTGGCAGCATCTGTGAAGAAAAACATCAGAGTTAACGTTTCGGGAACCAGTTCTGAGGAAGGGTCACCGGACCCGAAACATTAACTCTGATGTTTTTCTTCACAGATGCTGCCAGACCTGCTGAGCTTTTCCAGCAACTTCTGTTTTTGTAAACAATTAGTCTGTCTTACTCACTCCCATGCTCTGACAAGGTAGGCCTTTCAAATGTTTATCCAGTTTAATTTTGGACATATCTATGGAATCTACTTTCACTGCCCTTACAGGCAATGTATTCTGATACACAACAACGCACTGCCTCATGAAACTTCCCTTCCCTGTTTGCTTCTTCGTCTTATATCTCCAACTTGTGGTTTCCAATCTTCCTACAACTGAATAAGTTTCTCCTTACTCATTCTCAGTAAAGACCCAGTGAGGACCAGATGTTTACAAAATGATCAGAGGTATAGATAGAGTGGACAGCCAGAGACTTTTTCCTAGGGTGGAGGTAGCTATTACGAGGGGGCATAGTTTTAAAGTGAGTGGAGGTTGATATAGGGGAGACATCAGAGGTAGGTTCTTTACTCAGAGAGTGGTAGGGGTGTGGAGTGCATTGCCGGAGAGGGTAGTGGAGTCGGCCTCGTTAGGGGCATTTAAGCGGCTATTAGATAGGCATATGGATGATAGTATAAGGTAGGGGTGGAGGTTAGATAGGCCTTAGGTTTAAGCTAAAAGTTGCACAACATCATGGGCTGAAGGGCCTGTACTGTGCTGTACTGCTCTATGTTCTATGTTCTCATCTCCGAGGAGAACACCACCAGCTTCTCCAAGCCCTGCATATTTACTAGAATCCTCCATCCCCGGTGTGAGTTTGGTTTGTTTGAAATTATTTTCCACGTCCCAGAGAGGCTGTCTGTGATCTCTCTGAGTTAACCTGCTATGGGATGTGATCAATGCTTCAATTTCCCAGCCAAGGCCCCAGGGCGGGGGGCGGGAGCGAGAGCTTTGTATTAATGTCCATCACTGTGAACAAGTACAGATACCTCAAGCATTTATAGTTAATGTGTTACAGACGCTATCAGACTAAATCTGGTGGAATTTATTCCAGATGTATTTATGTTAACATGTTCCCTCCCCCTCCATTACTTTGGCTTGTTTTTCCAAGTATCTTCAATCTGTCCCCTTTGACTCCTGATCCTCCTTCCAAAGGAAACTATTCTCCCTGTTTGATCCAGCAAACCCTTCCCAGTTATTATTGTGTAATTAACCAGGCCAGTGCACAACAAGATCCAACTTCCGGGCACGAGATGAATGGGGAGTTAATTTGCTACGTCTGTGTGGTTTCTGGTTAAGCGAGACCATGTCACGCCAAAGGCTGGTGTCTTGGGAGCTTATACCATGACTGGAATTGGCACACGGGGCAAATTGGGCACAATTGTGTGGTGCAATACAGTGATCCGTCACCAAATCTCAGAAATGTTCAGTTCCAGCATACCTGCACCAGCTCCCTGAATGTTGACATGCTCTCCCTCCTCCTTTACCAAGGATTCCAACACCCCCCACACCCTATTGTCAGCAGGGCCCTCAGCTGTGTCCGACCCATCTCTCAAACCTCTGCCCTCATTCCTTCCCCTCCCTCCCAGAACAATGGCAGAATTCTCTTTGTCCTCAAATTCCACCCCCTCCCCCAAGTCTCCCATTCAAAGGATCATCCTCCGCCATTTCCCCCACCTCCACCAGGATGCCGCCACCAAACACATCTTCCCTTCCCCTCTACTGTCATTCCTCCTCATCTTTGGATGCTTTGGAGAGGGTGCAGAGGAGGTTCACCAGCATGTTGCCTGGTATGGAGGGCGCTAGCTATGAAGAGAGGTTGAGTAGATTAGGATTATTTACATTAGAAAGACGGCGGTTGAGGGGGGACCTGATTGAGGTCTACAAAATCATGAGAAGTATAGACAGGGTGGATAGCAAGAAGCTTTTTCCCAGAGTGGGGGACTCCATTACTAGGGGTCACGATTTCAAGGTGAAGAGGACAAAAGTTTAAGGGAGGTATGCGTGGAAAGTTCTTTACGCAGTGGATGGTGGGTGCCTGGAACGCGTTGCCAGCGGAGGTGGTAGAGGCAGGCACGATAGCGTCATTTAAGATGTATCTGGACAGATACATGAATGGGCAGGGAGCAGAGGGATACAGATCCTTGGAAAATAGGCGACAGGTTTAGATAGAGGGTCTGGATCGGTGCAGGCTTGGAGGGCCGAAGGGCCTGTTCCTGTGCTGTAATTTTCTTTGTTCTTTGTTCTATCTCTGTCTTAAAATGTGCGACCCCTTATTCTGAGCCCCACAAGGGGAAGCAGCCTTTCTGCATTTCCCCCATCAAGCCCCTGAGGATCTTGTATGTTTCAATCAGGTCGCCTCTCATTCTTCTAAACTCCAAGGAGGACAGGCCCAATCTCCTCAAGGTCTCCTCCATAAGATAGTCCCCCCGTCTCCGGGATCAGCTAAATGAACCTTCCAATGCCAGGAGATCTCTCCTAAGATGAGGGGGCTCTGGAGTGGGGTGTGAGGCATTCAGAACAAGGGTCAGGCTTAAAATTAAAGCCAGTCCATTCTGAGATAACATTAAGGAAGTACATCTTCACACAAAGGGCAGTAGAACTCTGGAACAATCTCCCTCAGAAAGCTGGCATCAGTGAAGCTGAGTAAGAATTATGGAATCATGCAGGGTCAATGAAATTTACACTCTAATTAAAGGTGGAACAAGTTTGGAATGGTGTTTGAGCTGTTCCTATTCTTTGGTTAATGGAAATATTTACATTTTTAATAATGTATATGAAGAATGTCAAATCTCTTTCCCCAACTCCCTATTTTTAATCTTGCATTTTTCCATTGTTTAAAACATAATCAAAACTCAACGTCTTGAATGACCTTCCAATTTAACAGGTTGGGATGGATAGGGTCTGAATGTAGTCTGGATGGTTCTGAAAGTGAATGACTGGTTATAATTATTGGGAAGTCAGTAATTGGCTCTTGCTCAATGGAGAGTAATTGTTTTAAATGATTTGTGTAACAACACATTAGTTATAATAGGAACAGACCCATTTCAACAGACTCCTTTAGCCATCAACAAGTTCTGCTGAGCTCTGCATTAAGTACATAATGCCTCCCTACGTCAGAGCTGGAGAGACAATAATGGAGTTTCTCTGTGAGTCCTTGAAACTCGGTGAGGAACATTGAAGCAGGAATGTGAGGTGGCCCAGCTTCAGGGGAAAAAAATACAAGATTTGGAGGAGAAAATTGCAATGTTGGAGCTGTAAAATGCAGGAAAGAGAATCCAACCCTGTCCCAAAGAATGATCAATATCTAGGGCCTTTTGCCCAAACGTCTAACCTTTCAAATATGTTGAAAGGATCTTGTAGTGAATTTAACCAGCCTTCACATGATGTGGAATTACTTTTCAATCTTTGACCAAATTAACCAAATGTGCATCTATCATCAAACATCCTAGTTTTGTTAGCTATTTCTTGAAAGAATTTTGTCTTCAGATTGTACTGGGAGTCCAGAATCACGTAGTATCACCTTTTGACAATCAATATTTAACCTGTAACAAAAACAAAGTTGTTGGAAAAGCTCAGCAGGTCTTTTTCCTTCACAGATGCTGCCAGACCTGCTGAGCTTTACCAGCAACTTTGTTTTTGTTCCTGATTTACAGCATCTGCAGTTCTTTCGGTTTTTATTTAATATTTAACCTGTGGTCTCCCTGCAACCAGTCTGCTCTTTTCTGGATACATCCTCTCTTCAGCTAAGCTGGTGACGCTCCTACCACTTGAGGCAGTTTCAAATGGGGAGGCGATGGCAGAGGGTTTTATTCCGAAAATTCAGCGAATATTCTGGGGACCTGGGTTTGAATCCTGCTACGGCAGGTGGTGGAGTTTGAATTCACTGAAGAATCTGGAATTAGGAGTCTAATGATGACCATGAATCCACTGTTGATCATTGGGGAAAACCCATCTGGGTCACTAATGTCTTTTAGGGAAGGAAATCTGCCATCCTTACCTGGTCTGGCCTATATGTCTGCTCCCACTGCTTTTCTTTTCTTCCTTTTATTTTCTCTCTTGTTTTTTATTCTCTGTATACCTTTACTTACCTCTTGTCCTGAGCTTGGATAGCAATGGTAACAGTGAGAGCGAGCCCAGTGCAGAGGAGAGTGGATCCAGCACGGACCTCGAGTGACCGCATATTTACTTTCCTGGGGCGAACGCAGGATCTGGCATCTGAATCAGCAGCTGCTACATTGGCAGAGACGATGTTGGTAGCATAGGCCCAGCGGTGAAAGATGGCTCCTGAGGATTGGCGACTTTGTTGTTGGTTGGGTCTGGAGTAGACAGCAGCGAGGTTGTGGAGGATGGATGGCAGTGAAGGCGTCGTCGATGGTGAGCTCGCTCAGGAGTGATGGGCTCTCTTTGAGCTATATCTTTGTTTTTTTTTCCCCTTATTCTTACGTTATTCAAAATGGCACCGAACCAATGTGACAAATGAAAGCTTTTCACTGTTTTTTATTATATTCTTAACTGTAAAATACTCGTGACAGTAAAATCATCCATTCACATGACTCCAGAACTGCAGCAGTGTTTATAAGGCAAAGATAGATAGAGTTTTGAGCAGTAAAGGAATTAAGGGTTAGGGTGAGTGGGTGAGTGGAGCTGAGTCAATGAAAAGATCAGCCATGATCTTATTGAATGGTGGAGCAGGCTCAATGGGCCAGATGGCCTACTCCTGCTCCTAGTTCTTATGTTTAACTGCCCCCCGGGCAATTAGGGATGAGTAATAAATGCTGGCCTTGCCAGAGATGCACACATCCTACGAGTGAATTAAAAAAATATTGCTCTCGACTGTTGGGGCCTCTTGGTTGTATTGATGGGAGACGAGTGGGGAATGGGTTTGAGAGTTCAGCATCATCATTTCCCTTCACCCTGTGTTGCCCCCCTGTTGCTGTGACATTACCAGAGTGTGACAACATGTTGATTTTCTGCCTTCAGGAGGGGCCACTCACAGGGTGACCATGAGGGGTAGGAAGGAGGGGCGACACCCTCATATTAGATAGTCAGAAGTCACACACACCAGGTTATGGGCCAACAGATTTATTTGAAAGCACAAGCTTTTGGAACACTGCTAACAAATAAATCTGTAGGACCTTAACCTGGTATCGTGTGATTTCTGACTTTGTGTCCACCCCAGTCCAACACCGGCACCTCCACAACATTAATATTATGTGAATCTTGGAGTTTGTCAGTTCCTTGGGCAAATAAGGAAAAGCATCGTTTGAAGTGAGTGTGTTTGTGGAATTTCACACCTGGGTTTAAGCTGCTTTCCGAGATGGCAGTGAATTAACAGCTAAATACGTATGAGAATTGAAACCAGTTTGAAGAGGATCACAGTCTTTGAAACAAGGCAGAGGGGAACAGGAAATTAAAATGCTGACAGAAGCTTTCACTCGCGGGAAGCCGTGGGTTATAAATTTTGAGCCTTCGCTACATTCTGCTGTCTAATGTATTTTGCCCTTCCTATTTAAACCATCTAACACTGATGGGTTTTTAACAAGAGCATTCCTATTTTTAGCTACAGTTACTTTTGGTTGGAATTTTACAATTAGATGCGGGAGGTAACAATTGAGTGATATTGAATTGATATCACTGCTCTGGTATCTCACGAGCAGAGTAGCTGGTATATCAGCAGCCCATTAGAGAAACTGTGTGAACTATACACGCAAATCATTTGCCAGTCAAGTGGTCACAAGAGAAAACATGTTCTTCAGGTGTGAGTTGACTGCGTTTCACTTTTTAATGTTGTTGTCTGTTTTCTCTACCCTCCCCCATCCCTCCACCTGCAGCCCAGACCACCATCGTAGGTCTACTGTACCATACCATGCACCAATACTACAAGCAGATAGACCCTCTGCAAACCAAGTAAGTGCATTGTTGTATGCTGCTGCTAGCAAATCTGGAAAGCTATGGACCTGATAGTTTAGTGCCAGCTGGTAATGGAACAATGCGCATTTTACAGAATGTACTGCCAAGGATTTGATAATGAGTGTGTGCCAGATAATTCTGTTTCACGTACAGAACACAGATCGTTGATGACAATTTCTGACAATGGGACTTCTTTCAGTTTTGTGCCAGGGTCAGCTGGGAGGATCTGAATGGTGCCATGCATGCCACCAGGTTCCCAGTTTACCATGGCATGCTGTTCAATGCTGAAAGGAAGCATTGCAGGTGCAGCAGGTGGTGAGGCAGGAAAGGATATTTTGGGATTCATAGTGAGAGGACTCGAGTACAGCAGCAGGGGTGTCTTGTTGCAATTATACAGGGGCCTTGGTGAGACCACAGCTGGAGTATTGTCTGCAGTTTTTGTCCCCTTACCTGAGGAAGGATGTTCTGGCTGTGGAGGGAGTGCACCAAAGGTTCACTGATTTCTCAGATGGCAGGAGTGACGTATGAAGACAGTGGATCAGTTAGGACTATAGTAACAGGAGTTTAGAAGAGTGAGGCAGGATCTCATAGAAACCGATAAAATTCTAATAGGACTAGACAGGGTAAACACAGGAAGGATGTTACTGATGACTGGAGAATCCGAAGCAAGGCGCATGGATTAAAGATATGGGGTAGGCCATTTGAGACTGAGATGAGGAGAAATGTCTTCATCCCGAGAGTGGGGAACCTGTGAAATTCTCTGCCACAGGAAACAGGAGGCCAAAACATTGAATATTTTCAAGGCGTTAGATATTGTTCTTAGGCCTAAAGGGATAAAAGGGTATGGGAGGAAGTGGGAACAGGGGACTGAGATGGATGATCAGCCATGGTTATATTGAATGGTGGAGCAGACTCAGGGCCGAATGGCCTACCCCTGCACCTGTTTTCTACGTTCCGAGCTCACTGACCCATCCAAGGTGAAAGTGCAGTTGCAAAGTGGGAATGCTAAAGGCTGGTGAAGGAAATGTCTCCAAAAATGATCGACTGCCCTGGTGGGTCACAGATGGTAGTACATTTTCAGATGAAGCTAAAATTGGAGGTGTAGTGGACAGCGAAGAAGGTTACTTCAGAGTACAATGGGACCTTGATCAGATGGGCCTATGGGCCCAGGTGTGGCAGATGGAGTTTAATTTAGATAAATGTGAGGTGCTGCATTTTGGAAAGGCAAATCAGGGCAGGACTTATACACTTAATGGTAAGGTCCTGGGGAGTGTTGCTGAACAAAGAGATCTTGGAGTGCAGGTTCATAGCTCCTTGAAAATGGAGTCCCAGGTAGATAGGATAGTGAAGAAGATGTTTGATACGTTTGCCTGTATTGGTCAGTGCATTGAGTATAGGAGTTGATATGTCATGTTGCAGCTGTACAGGACATTGGTTTGGCCACTATTGGAATACTGCATGCAATTCTGGTCTTCCTTCTATAGGAAGGATGCTATGAAACTTGAAAGAGTTCAGAAAAGATCTACAAGGATGTTGCCAGGGTTGGAGAGTTTGAACTGTAGGGATAGGCTGGGGCTATTTTCCATGGAGTATCGGAGGCTGAGGAGTGACCTTATAGAGGTTTATAAAATCATGAGGGGCATGGATAGGGTGAATAGACAAGGTCTTTTCCCTGGGCCAGCAGAGTCCAAAACGAGAGGGGAAAGATTTAAAAGGGACCTAAGGGGCAACTTTTTCACACAGAGGGTAGTGTGTGTATGGAATGAGCTGCCAGAGAAAGTGGTGGAGGCTGGTACAATTACAACATTTAAAAGGCATCTGGATGGGTATGTGAATAGGAAGGGTTTAGAGGGATATGGGCTAAATGCTGGCAAATGGGACTTAATTAATATAGGATATCTGGTCAGCATGGAAGGGTTGGACTGAAGGGTCTGTTTCTGTGCTTTACAGACTCTATGTTAAGGTGCAAACTCTACTGACAGACAAGGGGGGTGAGGGTGGGGGTGGGGAGATGATGTTTACTTTGAGACAGAATTATCCAGGGCACTTTGACAAGTCCAAGCCACTGGTGAGCCTGGGGGGATTTAGGGGGTAGCACAAGGTTGTGGGTCGAAGCCCCACTCCAGAGAGGTTGTCCCTCACAGTTAGAGGTGCCACCTTACAGAGGAGATAGATCTCGTTCCACTTGTCCAGTGGAAAATTAAACAATTTCGCAGCGCTGTTCTGAGGAGGAGCAGCTGTCTTCCCAGTATTTATCCCTCATCTCACCCTGTTCTTTTAAAAACAAAGGTGATCTGCTCATTTACTGCATTGCTGCTTTGTGGGAGCTTCCTGTGCGCAGATTGGTTGCCACCTTTCCTACACTGCAGCTGCAGTCACTATGGCACTTTGTAACGTCCTGCATTTGTGAAAGGCACTATATAAATGCAATACTGTTGTGTCTCTTGATTATGTTGCCTAATTCAGGTAAATTCCAATCTTTCAGCTTAGCCATTTTCTTTACCTTAAGTGGTTTACACTTTGTATTAGACAGGATTAGTTCTATCCTTGGAATTGTTGCAGGTATATTTCAGTTAGAAATACAAGTGCACATTTGATGTGTCCTTCTTTCCCCATTCTAGATTTCCAAAAGAAAAAGATCTTAACTTTTTCTGTAGAATTCTAGGTAAATAATAGATAGAACACATTCCAACCTATGACTTGTCCGATCTCCTCACTTCCCAGTTCCCATTGTTTGTTTGGAGATGACTTGCATCAAAGTTAAAGGGATCCTGTCATCAGTGTCTTTATTAACTCTCAGTGGGATTGTTCTCTGATGTTTCAAGTGGCCTTCCAACCATCTCGCTTCAGAAACTTCACTTCATCCAAAACTCTGCAGTCCTGAACCTAACTCATACCAAGTCCAGTTTCCCCCACCAGTTTCCCCATCATGCCTCTGCTCAGTGACTCACATTTGCTCTTGGCCAAGCAGCAAATCGATTTTATAATTCTCATCCCTGTCTGAAAATCCCTCCATGGCCTCAGCTGATCCTGTCTCTCTGGACTCCTTCAGTTCCACAAGCGTTCAGATATCTGTGAGCTCCTGCTGTTCTGTACTTGTGAGCATGCCTGATGTTAATCAAGTCTTCCTGGTGGTCATGCTTTCAGCTGCCTGGACCCTGAGCTTTGGAATTCCCTCAAACCTCTCTACATCTCCCACTTCCTTTAGAAGATCCTTAGGATGGGCATATTTAACCAAACACCTGGATACCTGTCCCTTTGTCCCCAGTGTTTCTTTGGTAATTGCTCCTTTGAAATACCTTGGACTGTTTTCCCGTTTTAAAGTTACTGTATAAATGCAAGTTGCGGGCTTTCGTGGCACAGTGGGATAGAACATCAGATCTAGGAGCAGGGGTAGACCATTCCGCCCCCTAGTCTGTCCTGCTATTCAATACAACTATGGCGAAGCTCATCTCAGCCTCAACATAATCCTTCAACCTATTACTGATTTAAAATCTCTGTATCTCTTCCTTCGGTTCAGTTAATGTCCCAGTATCCACTGCACACTGGGAGATTGAATTCCACAGATTTATGACCCTTTGAGGGAAGTAATTTCTCCTCATCTCTGTTTTAAATCTGCTACCCCTTATCCTAAGATGATGATGTCCCATCCTAGATTGGCACACATGAGGGAGCATCCTCTCTGCGTCTGCTTTGTCAACCCCCTTTAGCATCTTCCAGACCTTAATTAAACCTCCTCACATTCTTCTAAACTCCAGAGAGAATAGACTCAAACAGCTCAATCTTACTTCATAAGATAAACCCTTCGTCCCTGGCGGTGTCCCTATCTCTGGGCCAGGAGGCCTGGATTCAAGTCTCACCAGTCCCTGAGCTGTGTTGTATTATGTTCAAACAAGTTGTTTTGGATCCAGACAGTGGTAATTCCTGACCAGTGGTGAAGGAGTAACTGTGATGCTGGACTTCACAAATAAAGTGCAAAATCCAGACACAATGCTCAAGCTTTAAGGCCCCACCTGGGCCAATGTGTGTCAATTCAGCAGCAATGTGGAACTTCAGTTATTGTGGAGAAGCTGCGATAGGAGCACAGAAGCTGAAGCAAGAATTTTCGAAAATTGATTCAGGATCTGAGCAGGGTAGAAAGTCAGAAAGAGACAGGAGGATCATGAACCAGCGGACACAGGCTTAAGATAAAAAAGTGACGTTGTTTCTGTGAACAGTAAATTGTTTAATCTGTTTGAAAAGGTGGTGGGAGCAGATTTATTAATGAACATTCTCATGGGAACTGACGGCGAAAGACTTTAAGTGACTATAGGAGAAAGAGCAGGGAAGTGGGATATACTGGCTGGTTCTTTCAAAGATGATGGGTCCAGTGGCCTCCATGTATCTGCAGCCCTTGTCCTTCTAGATGGAAGTGGTCGTGGGTTTGGAAGGTGCTGTCTAAGGATCTTTGGTGAATTTCTGCAGCGCATCTTGTACACAGTACACACTGCTGCTACTGAGCGTCAGTGGTGGAGGGAGTGGATGTTTGTGGATGTAGTACCAATCAAGTGGGGGCTGCTTTGTCCTGGATGGTGTCGAGCTTCTTGAGTGTTGTTGGGGCTGCACTCATCCAGGCAAGTGGGGAGTATTCCATCACACTCCTGACTTGTGCCTGGTCGATGGTAACCCCCAGGAAGTCAACATTTGCACCAGACAAATGCCAGGCGATGACCATGTCTAATAAGAGAGAATCTAACTACTGTCCCTTGATATTCAGTGGTGTTTTAATCACTGAATCCCCCACTGCCGACTTCCTGGGGGTTACCATCAACCAGATACTCAACTGGACCAGCCATAAAACTTGTTTATACAAGTGCAGGTCAGAAGCTGGGAATACTGCAGCGAGTAACACACCTCCTGACTTCTTAAAGCCTGTCCTACAATCTACAAGGCACAAGTCAGGAGTGTGTTGGAATACTCCCCACAAGATCTGGACAACATTCAGGCTTGGGCCACTTGTCA